ACTAATCATGAGTTTTGTGAATCAGGCTGATACCGAAACCGATGAAGTCTATGCACAAATGACTCTTCAACCTGTGAATAAGGTTTGAATCATCAATCTCTCCATGATTTGAGAAATTCTTTAGCAGTTGAGTTTTGCTTGATTATCCAAATGTGTATCAGTACGACAGAGACGCATTGCTAGCTTCTGATATGGGTTTGAAGCTAAACAGACAACCTACTGAGTTTTTCTGCAAGACTCTTACGGCGAGCGACACGAGCACTCACGGTGGATTCTCTGTACCTCGTCGTGCAGCTGAGAAAATATTCCCTCCTCTTGTATGGCTCTCTGATCAAAGCAGCACTCAAACTATTTGTTTCTTAATCTGTTTTGCTAAAAGTTATAAGGATGTTTAAAATAGGATTTCTCGATGCAACCGCCTGCACAAGAGATTGTAGCTAAGGATTTACACGACACTACATGGACTTTCAGACATATCTATAGAGGTATACATCATCTCAAGATTGGTTTATTAGTCCAAAAGATTTAAAACTTCAATCTCATTTGCTCTCTTTGTTGTAATCTGATCTCAGGCCAACCAAAAAGACACTTGCTTACCACAGGTTGGAGCGTATTTGTTAGCACAAAGAGACTATTCGCGGGTGATTCAGTTTTGTTTGTTAGGTATGAGTCATACTTAGATCAAAACACTAAGCAGAAATGGACTTTCCTCTTCTCATAAGGGCACTTGGGTTTTACTACTTTTTTTCAGAGATGAGAAATCACAGTTGATGTTGGGTATAAGACGTGCGAATAGACAAACACCAACTCTTTCCTCATCGGTCATATCAAGCGACAGTATGCACATTGGTATTCTTGCAGCTGCAGCTCATGCTAATGCCAACAGTAGCCCTTTTACCATATTCTTCAATCCAAGGGCAAGTCCTTCAGAATTTGTAGTTCCTTTAGCGAAATACAACAAAGCATTGTACGCTCAAGTATCTCTTGGAATGCGGTTCCGGATGATGTTTGAGACCGAGGATTGTGGGGTTCGTAGATATATGGGTACAGTCACCGGTATTAGTGATCTTGACCCTGTTAGATGGAAAGGCTCACAATGGCGTAATCTTCAGGTAATGTATATTAGAGTTATGCTAAACTGTTTATGATGATCATTTCTTCGAAATCTTTTTGCTGATTCCTTTGTTCATTGTTTTGAACAGGTAGGATGGGATGAGTCAACAGCTGGAGATAGGCCAAGCCGAGTATCGATCTGGGAGATCGAACCCGTTATAACTCCTTTCTACATATGTCCTCCTCCATTTTTCAGACCTAAGTACCCGAGACAACCGGGGATGCCAGGTAAAGTGTACTTCCATCTTTTCTTTCATCGATCTTTGGTTGAGTTTCCGGATACTAACTTTGGAGGTTTCTGCTGCAGATGATGATTTGGACATCGAAAACGCTTTCAAAAGAGCAATGCCTTGGATGGGAGACGACTTTGGGATGAAAGATGCACAGAGTTCGATGTTCCCTGGTTTAAGTCTAGTTCAGTGGATGAGTATGCAGCAAAACAATCCATTGTCAGGTTCTGCTACTACTCAGCTCCCCTCTGCGCTCTCATCTTACAACCTACCAAACAATTTTGGTTCCAACGACCCTTCAAAGCTGTTGAACTTCCAATCCCCGAACCTCTCTCCCGCACATTCCCAGTTCAACAAACTGAACATGTTGAACCATATCAGTCAACAGATGCAAGCACAACCAGCCATGGTAAAATCT